TCTTGGTTCATAACCACCCCATTTCAAGGACTTGTGTATAACATATAAATAAAATTAGTTATGCACAGTTTTCTCCTCCAGTGCAAAGGTGATCTGTAGTGCCTTGATGTGATGCCACCTGATGAAGTGGCTATGCAGCAAATAACCTGTAAAGCTCTGCAGACTCACCTCCTGCCTGCTCACCAGTGAAACAAAGCAGCAGCAACAGCACAACCTTGCAACAACAAATAGCTCTGTCTGCATATAGCCTATGGTTTTTGTGGGTTGCCAGCTAAAGAACTGAGAGTTAAACACCACAGGCCCTACTTTGGGAGAGCCGACAGCCTTTCAAAGAGAAGCCAAAATTATTTTAAAAAATATTTGTTGTGAGTCATTTTAATGAATGAGGTTGTCAGCCTTTCCAAGATCTGCAGTAATGATCAATGGGACACTTCCCTCACCTGAGGACCACTGGAAACATTATATTCTGAAGTTTCGTAAGTTTGTGCTGATGTGGACAGCCTGCCAAGCACAACAACATTTCTGCTTTGAGGACAGGGTGAAGTTACTACATCTAGGGTTAAGGCTAAGTAATCCCAGGGGTCAAGACATTCAGGACTTGCAACATAGCTCCTAAAATACTTATCATTTTCCTCTAGAATAAACTGGTTTAAAAAAAAAAAAAAAAGGCAGAAAACCTCATGTTTCTTGTTAATTTTAGCACGCAATCATCAATTAGACCTTGATGTTGTATGCAAAGGAAATAGAAACCTTACCACAGAAATAACTCACTTTAAAAGGACTCATTACCATCCCAGCTTGTCTGGGCTCTAGTCCTGGCAGGCGAATTTCTCTGCACAGATTCAGCGCTAGGGCTGAGGACCATGGATTTTGTTGAAGTTGGGATGCTGCAGTCCAGTCAACATTTTCTCAAGATCACGACGTATGGTCATATGCAGAGAGGTGCACGGGACTTTATTTTCTCATTGATTTTAATAACAGGTGTGGAGGCTAAGCATCTTTATTAATAAAGTGTATGTATATAAAGTGCTTATCATAATAAATAAACAGAAGTAGATGCCGAATTACTGCAATATGAAGGGGCCCTCCAGAAGGATCTGCTAGTGCAACCTCTGGCAGATTACTAGCTGGTCCTGCTTTTCCTATAGCTTGTGTTATATGACTTCCCTATAAACATACACAATATGAGATTTTGACTTCTAACAGTCTAAATGTGGATACCAGGACATGTCCCTAAGAGTGGTTTCCAACTCTGTGACTTTGTCCATGCACTGAGAGCTCAGATTCTCTTGTTCAAGGGTCCCATGGGTTATTGTGTGTGGACAAAGCCTTTATGGTTTCTAAAACACAGTATGGAGCTTGCTTTAACTCCTAACACAGCCCAGGCTATGTGACCAGCGCATCTTGGTTTGTCTGAGTACAGCACCAGACCTGCCAAAATCTGAACCCAGGTCAGTAGAAAATTCACATTAGAAGCCTAGTTCATGCTGGCTGAAGTTTTGATTCAGAAGAAAAGCTTCTTCTAGTCTTTCATGTCTGTTCCCAAGATGACCACTGTAATAGCAGTGTTTTTGTTGTGGCACATGGAGGAACGAGGCCCCGTTTTGCCAAGGTGTGTAAGGCAGGCAGGAAACTTCACCTCAAATTTTGAAGCTCTTACAATGTAACAGAAGGCCTGTTGAAGAAAACAGAGCCTGCACAATGTCTTTTATAATATAATAACGGAAACATTAGCATTTGTCCATCCTACAAGACTGGTAGTATTATGAGGAGACAACTTTGATCTTTAGACCGTGAGACAAGAGGTTGTCAGGAGAAAAAATTCAGCAGGTTCACATGAATGGTGAAGGGTACTCTTAGGGTTACTCCCAAATTATGAGGTAGTTTCTTCCTTTGAAAATTAAATCCTGATTTAAGGAAAAAAAAATCATTATAGTTGTGGAATCACCTAGCAATACAAATTTGAGCAAAATTCAACTTCTGGCAGGTGGAAAATGATCACTATTTTGCTTATTTGTTACAAAATAAGTTTGTAACACAGATACACTTGGTATGTATATGTATTAAAAATAACCAGTTTGTTCATGCCTGAGTTTCCAGTTTAGGATGTCTCCGTGAAATGAAGAATGAAATAGCCTGCTAACTACGTGTGCTTCAGGATGGTTCAAAAACTGATTAGGTCTGGGCCTAACCAGTATCTGAGCTCGAGCCTGGTTCCCCCTGTGGAAATGACATTGCAGAGCTGCAGAGGCCATTTCCACTTAACAGGAGTGAAATGTGTTTCGCTGGCTCTGGTGGTGCTCTGCTGCTTTACAGCAGCTGAAACTCTGCCTTTAATTCAGCCAAATGTTAATTCCCAAAGGCTGGGCAAGTTCTGAGTGCCTGGAAATAGGCTTTGGAAAATAAAATACTCTTCCAGCCTCCCCTACTGGGGTAGCTGCCACTTCATCTATCATAACCTTAGCCCTGCTTTCAAGACTGTTGTGAAGCTTTCTTCGTGCTTCCAAAAATGCCTCACGCTTTGCAGAAAGTAGCTTTTAAAGTATGGTGCATTTTTTACTACTTTTTTAATGTAGAAAACAGTCATAAAATCAGGAAGCATATTAACTGCAATTTATTGGGAAGACCTGGGTATAAAATCATCACCTGAGACCTCAGGCCATGGAGAGGTGAGAAAAATCAAACTTTGTGTAACTCCAATCTAAAATAATTAAGCTTGAGTATTAATTGCTAGGGAAGGTCCCAGAAGATTTGCCCTTTATTTGTGCTATTTCAGGGGCTGGGCTTTGGCTTCTTAGTTGAGTTCTTGAGGAAGGTGAGTCTGAAAAGAAGCAGGAAGCAAGTATAGTCTTTACTACAGAAGTTTAGTGTATTTCCCAATAAAGTAATTATTGTTGGAGATATAACCAAATGTTTTTTTAATGTTTTTATTCCAAGGTCCTATTCTCAGACACTGGTTGCATACAGCAATATTCATCTGATGGTCTGGAGACTTCGTATGGTTCTATCTAAAGGAATTTACTCTGAAGAAAGATCTTCTGCCCTTACTAGGAGTGAAAAGAGAGTGGTTATTGTGCTGCTGTTGAGAACTGCTAAAAGACTTACACTATCTCCTTAAAAAGGAGGAAATCCCAAGCCATTGCTGTTCTGGGGAAGATTGGCCACAGGTGGCTTCTGCAAAATGACTATATTTATTGTCTGTGCATATTAGAAAGACATAGGAAGGTATGGAGCTCTTAGTGACTTGTCAGGCTGGGTTGAAGGAAGGCAGGGCTGACAGTGAGACTGTGCCAGTCAGTCTGATATCCCAACCACTGGGCAGCAGAGTACAGGACTGTAAACTCTTGTAGCCTTTTTTTTTTTTTGTTACATAGACTTGCTGTTTCTCTGATTTTAGCGATATTACTTTGCAGCTTGTACTGGTTTCTGTAGCTCTTTCTTCAGTGTCAACAACTGTGTACGGCATTTTGCATAAAGTCCTAGCACAATGCCATTTTTGTCAACTATTTCACATTTTTTGCTTTATGTATCTTCAGATTGCATTTGCAATTCTCACAGCTGCCTCATGTCATGACCCCATAGTAATGCTGGGATGGCAGTGTTTTCCTCATACACTTGGCAAGGTCTGGCTGCTGAGCCTTCTGCCCTCCTTCATACAACTTATTTAAAAACAGCTCTAGGATCTTTGTTTAGGCTTTGCATTTTCTATTAAGTTTCACAGTGTATCAGTTGTGCCTTTTCTTAGTATTGCCCTATCCTTTTCCATGTTGCTGATGTCTCTAACCTAACTGTCATCAGCAGGGCTTACTTACACTTTCCCAGGTCTAATGTCACAGTCACAGTAGAAAATCTTAAACAAGGTCCATCCAAAAGATCACTCCAGTGGGGGTGCGTGTCCAGCCTGTAGTTTTATTTCTACATAACCCCTAGCATCTTTAACTGTCCTTAATAGTTGTTTGCTTTATTTTTTACCTAAATTCTCATCTTTCTCCATGTTCCTATTAGTCGTTTCTCCTCTGAAACCCTATATAATGCTTCATGTACTTGCAAAGACACTAAATTTGCCACTCTGTCCTAATAAGGTTAGTAATATCAATTAGGCATGCCAGTTAATTTGGCATGTGTTCCCTGTGGTAAATTTGTGTTACGTTTTTGCCTCTTCACCTCCAGGATCAAACTTTACTTTTCTTCAACACTTGCTTAGAAATGCTATATAACACTGAAGCTAATTTTATAAATATTTGAATTGTTTATGTCCCTGGTTTGGAAAGGATCTACACATGTTTCATGTGCCAGCTCTTTTATTGCTGAGGGATGTAGACGGTCAGATTCTCCTCTCTTCTGAGCAATGCTAGGTTAGTTTTGTATGAGTTTCCAGACCACTTCTCTTGTGGTAATTTCTGGCTATCATAATAGGCAAAAAAAATGAGATGGTTAATCTGTGCCGCACTGCTATTCATGGTGAGAAATAAAGTAAAAGCCTTACTTTGTTTTTGGATCAGGAGATACATACATTTCTTTAGTTTCTGCATTTTCCATACTGGACAGCAGTCCTTGCATCTTATTCTGGGGTTTCTATTTGTATTTATTTATGGCAATAAAATGGTGTACAACATTTACGTGCTTGTGGGACAAATACTGTTGTTTTCCCCTCCAGGATGCTAAATAGATTCAGGGTATTGTTGTTCTTGTCTGATCTGTGTAAGGGCCATTTGTGCTGAGAAGTCTCCTGGGGATTTTTGACTTCTAAGCCCCTTCTGGTTAATGACAATCCAAATGGCTGGCGTTCCTGAGGATATTAAAAGGGTATGGATGGGTCAAGAGTTAGTGTAAACTACTGCAAGATCTTTGTTTTCCCACATACAAAGAAAGTGCTCCGAGGAAAGCATGTTTCTGCAGTACTTCAAGAACACTCTAAATCTATTTATGCTATGCATACAGGATGCATATTGCTATTGCATATTGCTATGTGTAAAGAAAGTTTTTTTTTCTTTTTGCAGGAGGCCAACAGCAAGCTTGGTACAGCATGAACAAGGAATTGAAGAATTGTTCTCTGGGAATTGCATTGTACTGATCTTATCTGAGGAGATGGCTTCAGTTCTCTAGCTTGGTGTTGTGGTCTGCAGCACCTCAAGGCACCTCGTGTGCTCACCAGTCCACAGAGGGGTCAGACTCTGCTCCTCATAGTTATGGTGCTAGCTTTAAGCCTCCAGGCCCACACGATTACAGCTTCAGCCCTAGCTGAAGCACTGGAACTGCTCTTGCATAAAGGGATATTGCAGAAGCGCTTGAGCATTGAGATGCTCAGATGTGATAATGGCAGTGCAATTAGGAGAGTTGTAGAGAGTTGTTGGAGATACTCCTTGGACCAATGATTTGTTGTAGTCTTTTCTAATTTTCTTGTTTTCCGATAATTTACCAGCTGATGGCTGTTCATGTCTACATTAATTCAATCTTCATCAGCTAAAAGTTCTGAGCCTTTGAGCTTCATATTGACTGTTTGTTTCTGCTCTTTTGTTACTGAGGCCAAAAAAGTAATTTTAATAACTACGAATGTTTGTTCAGATTTGTTTGTCTGGCTCTCATTACTTACTAAGGGTCACTTAACATCCCTGTAGTGTTATGTAGGACAAACTAAGAAATGAGGTTGTCCATAACAGAGCTGTGTGCCAGCAAAACACAACTATGCAAGCTGGATCATGAACAGCATTGAAAATACACAGTAGGAATTCCCCTTGGTACAGTAGCACTCAAAAAACATACATTTACAATAAGTACAGAGGGTTGGGATCTTGGATTTAGAGCTCATTGGTAAAAATGGACTTGCTAGTATTTTCACATTTGTACTTATTACCAGACTGTACCTGGCTTCTTGTATTGCTCTTTTCAGTATTGTAAGCAAAGAAAAGTCCATGGTATTAACGCAGGAACAGGATATCTTTTTTTGGATATTTGTAAGCCAAAAGCTCAACATGAGGCACTTGTCCTCCATTTAATATGGAACTTAAACTTTTACGGTAGAGGCTTCTATAGAAGTCACTTCTGGGTGTGCTTGTGGTCATATGCAGCATTCATAAATACTGCTACAATTTTGCTGAGAATAGCCAAAATACTTAGTCCCAATTGTTGGCTAAGTGCCTTCTGCCTTATCATAATATTCTCTGTGTTGTCAGTATGGTGCAGAATTGTTCATTTCCTGCCCTGAAAGACTGTTTAGTTCTACCAAACGTTGTTAAGCAGATGTAGCATTTCACCCAAGAGCTGGTTGTGTTTCAATTCTGGATAAAGTGGTTCCTGTAAATAAGGCTTGCAAAATGCTTTCTGTCTGAACAAAACTATGGGCCAGTTTTTATTACACGCTATTATTATAATTATAGGATCTTCTGCTTAATCAGGATGTGCTTAATTAGGATAGCCATTTAATTGGGACATCTCCCAAGGAACCAATTTAGCTTAATGACATTAGTACTATCTAATCAGGGCAGCTTAGGAAAAATTTTGCTTTTAAAAAATAAGACCCCAGCAGAGGAAAAAATAAGATGACATTTTGCTGGTCTGATGCATCTAGTCGATTTCCTAAAGTTTTGGGTTGCAGCACAGCACATGCAGCTGCAGGGATAATCTCCTTATTGTTGCAGAAGATGAGGAAGATTGTCCTCTTGTGAAAAGTACCCAACACCACATTCACTACTGCTGGCAGCTGCCATGTCCTTATAGCAGAATACTGTGGCAAATGAGGCTCAGGAACTCATCCTGTGCCCAACAAGAAGGAAAAAATAAAAATAATAAAAATAAAAATTGTTGACAAATATTAATAGCAAAGTGGAAAATACCATGTTTTAGTTGTGAAGCTATTCATGTGAATCTGGAGTAAAGACACAAGTAACAAGTCTTAAACATGGAATTGTTCAGAGATTCTGACTGAAACTATTGGTCACTGAACCTTCACCCATACTTCAGGATAGAAAACCTCCTTTCTTATTCTAGCTTAGCTTTTGAAATTAATCTTGTTGTGGTTGTACATTCAGTATTGAGTGAGATATGACTATCAAGGAAACCCTGCTGCTGTAAAGAAGCAGGATTATGCAAGTTAGACCTAGATTTCAGGAAGTTTGAACGGACTATCTTCTGCCATCAGGCTGAAGACCCTGTCTCGGCCTGTGGACTAGCCACTGCAGTTCTATGAAGCATGGTTCTGGCCATGCTTCCCTCAGGACAGGTGAGGAACGAACCCCCAGACTGAGTGTTTAGGAAGACACAAGGCTGACTTCAGTGGCAAAGCTGTCTTAAAATTCCAGTTCCTAACATTCTCCCTCCTCTGCTTGTTCCCACGCTGCAAGGTCACTGTCTCTAGTTCTGGTAATACAACCATTAAAGTATTAGCTGGATCAGTGATAAAACAAGGTTTAAAATAGATATTTTCCCTTTTTTAGAATGTTTTTTTAATGTTATTTTTAATTGCCTATCAGTCCAGCTGTCCACTTGCCAGCTTTCCTGGGAGGTACTGTCATGTCTTGTCTCGCAGAGTGATGAATGAGTGGATGGGGAGAAAGCTGGAAAGAGACCAGTATAATCCCTGAGTCCAACATATTGGAAAATTGTATACTGACCTACCCTGTCTCACTGAAAGTAGGAGTGGCTGTTACCTGATACTAATTAATTTAAAAACTCAGGTCTCTGTCTTCATCTGACTGTACCTCTTGGGTGCTCTTCATATATGGGCAGGCAGAACCAGGTATTCTTTTTTCAGTGCATCTGAGGAGGTCTAACAGTTAACCAAGTAAGAATTAAAATTGCATTAAAGTATATCCTGCAAGGTCTGTGCAGGTATGTGTTCCTCAGGGGCTGGATGCCTCATTAGCAGTACAGAGCCTGCAAGAAGTAAACTCATTCAAACTAAGTTAATTACAAAATCAAGAGGCTCCCCGAGAAGGATGAATGTTCTAATTGTGTGACAGCCCATCCTTATTTGGGTCACCTTGTACAGCCTCATATTCTTTTCAGTGCTCTTAATCCGTATGTGCCTCTTCTTCACTGAAGATGCTGGGGCTGCAGTTTTCAGAGGTTGATGCATGTTTAAAGTGGAAGCTGGCTTATTAATAAGTGGTGGCAGGTTTGATGCCGTGACTACTCCGTTGGAGAGCCTGTCCCAGTGCCCGACCACCCTCTGGGTGCAGAACCTTTCCCTAACCCCCAGCCTGACCCTCCCCTGTCCCAGCTCCATGCTGTTCCCTCGGGTCCTGTCACTGTCCCCAGAGAGCAGAGCTCAGCGCCTGCCCCTCCACTCTCCTCGTGAGGGAGCTGCAGGCCGCCATGAGGCCTCCCCTCGGCCTGCTCTGCTCTGTGCTGAACAGATCAAGTAACCTCAGCTGTCCCTCATACATCTTGCCCTCTGGACCCTTCACCATCTTTGCAGCCCTCCTTTGGACACTCTCTAATAGTTTTATGTCCTTATACTGTGGTGCCCAAAACTGCACACAGTGCTCAAGGTGAGGCCGCCCAGTGCAGCGCAAGACAATCCCTCCCCTCAGCTGGCTCACCACGCTGAGCCTGATACACCCCAGCGTACAGATGGCCCTTGCGGCTGCAGGGCACACTTGTGACTCCTGTTCAAACCCCAGACAGCTTTCTGTGGGACTGCTCTCCAGCCTCTCACCCCCAGTCTGTATGTACAGCCATGGTTGTCCTGTCCACATGCAGAATCTGGTACTTGTTAAGTTCCATAATGTTGGTGATTGCCCAGCCCTCCCATTTGTCAAGATCTCTCTGCAAGGTTTCTCTACCCTCAAGGGAGTCAACAGCTCCTCACTAACATATTTAATTTGATAGTTCATTCTCTTCCTGGGAGTTAATTACCTGCACATCATTGATATTTCACATGGTGAAGAGCAAGAGCTCTGGAGCTGTGTCTGCAGCTCTGAATGCATGTGCATCTCCGTGTGTGTGCTTGTGGCATGTAGGAAAATGTCTAGTCCTGTCTGAGTTCATGTGCTCCTGCAGCTGGAAATCGAGTTCTCTGTAGCCATTTACACTTAATTTCTGTGTATTGTGATGGCACAGGGAGGCTTGGAACTCATTGTGGGCAGGTGTTTTTGGTAGTTATTAACAATTAATACACACAGCACAGGATTCAACATAAGGGTTCTTTCCTAATAGGGAAGTGATTTGTAAACCTCTGTTAAAACACTTGATGGTGTTTTCCTTGATAGGTATTAAAACTGTTATTTAAAAAAAAAAAAAAAAAAAAAGTTTGATAAAGAATAGGTATTCTTGGGTGTTGGTACTACTTAGTGGCCCTATACCTCTTATTAACTTATAGTTAGCTATAAAAGGAAATATTAAACATATTTTGCTCCTTAGTATAAAATGGGGGGATTGCCACTGAGTAACGCACTTAGAATAAGCATCACACTGCTTATTTTCATTCCCTAAATATAATAACAGACTAAGACAAAAATGAGTACAATCAGTCTAGCTGATGGCTGAATCATAGCAACAGCATCAATTAATTTGTTTCCAGGTCTAAAAAACTAATAAAGACTTTACGTAATCTCCTAGATACAAGTCTTAATGATAACATCTTAAATCTGTTCTTTATGCTCTTATTCTTTGTACACATAGATGCCTGCAACTACCGCTTTCATGTGAACTCTGTTTGTAAAAAATGATATTGAGTTGAGATAGTTGAAATAAAAGTATGTCCCTTTTATATTATACTTAAGAGAAGCTTAATATCTGGTCTGTATTGCACAAAGTCATACCACTTAATTATAGACCAGTCACAATAGTGCTTTCATGTGTGCTCTACAGTCTTCGATGCGGATTCTTTTATGAATGATTTTAAAATATGTATAGTGTACATTTATTATTCCATGCCCCTAGATCCTGAGAAATAATGTGGTAATTATATACATTAATCCTGGAATGCTGTGCATATTGTTGTTCTAACTGTTTGTGTTTTGTGGAAAACAGATCAGTGACAATGTCTTGAACTGTAAAGCCTGCCATTGTCCTCACTTCAAGGTTAGCATTTGCAAATCTGGATTGTTCATTCATTTTGCAGTACAAATAATCGAGCATATACTGTATTAAGATCTTTGTTAGCAAATATATTACCTTTTGCTCTGAGTACAGGTAGAATATTTCCTCTTGTTTCAGCCAAATAGTTCCATGACTCCTTCTCACAAATAGTAAGATGCTCTTTACTATTACTTCTTTGCCCAAAAGTCTGTAAGCAACTCAGAGAATGCAATTAAACTGCTGTGAAGCTTGCCTTTGCAATGCATGGGGAATACATTCATTGTATTAAGATCTATATTCATGGGCTATTTCTGAGATAGAGGAGCTATATTAACAGTTTGTAGATTTAACAATCCATTTTGGTTTGCTAGTGACAATTAACTTGCTTGATGTGAAGCTATGCATGCCTGTGTGCATTGTTCCATGTGGGACTTCTGTGATGGCTTGTGAAAATGCAGATTATTGGGAAAGGACGCTTTACAATCTGCAGTAGTTTAGCTGTATTTCTGACAAATGAAGTTAGATACATGCTGAATTTTAAATGGGAATGGTGTGGTTAGATGACTTCATCAGCTTTAAAAATATTATCTGCAGTGCCAGCCAGCGTCTGCGGCCTTTGAATCCCATGAGCCTTCTCAAAAACACAGGGCAGACAGTGTATCCACATTATGGTTCAGAAGCAGTCTGTGCATTTTGCAATTATTTTTTTTTAACAAAACCCTATACTTGACTATATTTGCTGTGAGTTTAACATATGTGCTGAGGAGACCAGAACCTTCCAGTATTTTTCAGCTGTCTTCTCTGCTGTGAATGCAGTGTTTTTCAGAAATTGGTCTTTAGAACATCAGGACCACTTCTAATGTCTGCATTGAAATGAAATAAATACTTGGTACACATAATTATTTTTAGCCATGAAATCAGCTTATCAAGCAGATGAATCAGTGGCTCCAATTCACTATGAGCATAACACAGGATAAATGCATTCTACTTGTAGTCCTGCTGTAATAAAATAGATTCAAGACAAATATTTATGAATGATGAAGTAGTGGTTGCCCGCTAGCTGTTGACAAGGAGGCTTTATACTCCCGTAGTCTGGATAGAGGACACAACAATTTATGAGGTACAATTATAGTATTCAAAAGACAGAGATTTTTACCTGAGAAAGGCTTTAAAGATAAAAACAAAGGCCTATTTTTAGGGGTTAAAGTGCAAATTTCTTGTTCTGCATGTCAGCATAGCTTGTAATTAACAAAAATTATCTTTCTACTGCCGGGGTTGCATCTTG